TCCCCAGCTCTGGAACTCACTTCCTCCCGACCTCCGCAGTATTGACTCTCTCCCCTTATTCAAAGCCAGACTCAAAACCCATCTGTTCCAGCTCGCTTATCTGTTAATATACTGCTCTTTTCCCTATCCATGATTGTTTTTTGTTTTTATGTTCCTGTATCTGTATTTTGTATTTTCATCTCTTTTTATTGAATTTTTTTTGTATTATTTGTAAAGTGACCTTGAGTGTCAAGAAAGGCGCTGTTAAATAAAATAAAATAAATGTATTATTAAGAATCACTTAGCTAAAGGTTATTGGTTCTTGATTAAGCAAATCATTCAATAAAACATTATTTGGCCAAATAATGTTTTATTCACCTCATGGATTTGCATTGTGAATTGGTCTGAAAACATTCCAATGTCCTTAAAATTAGTGAAAAGCTAATTTGATCATATCCTAAATTATTCCAGATAAACTTTGGTTTTAAACACAGAATCCATCTTAGACTGTAATATGTTTTTCAACCGTTTTCCCCTTTCTCTTTGTACATAGTGGTTAGTTTAGTTTAGTTGAGTTTTACTAGTCTTAGTTGAGAGTGTTAAACTGAAATACGTTTGACTTGGAGCTGAATGATTTTTGTTAATAAAATCTATTTTGAACAGAAGTTGTGGTGAATTTATTCCATGTATGTGCAGAAATAACTGACTATGATTAGTGCTTGAATCACTCTTTCATCTATTGTTTTGACAGGCAGTTAGTAGGACTGTGTGTCATAAACAGTATGTAACAGCTGAAATAATATCTGATTAAATGAGATATTTTACCACCCCTACAGGGGAGGGCAATAAACATCTTAAAGTATCAGAAACATAAATTCCCAGCAGGCTGGGAATGGAAAAGTCTATAGAAACACAACATCTGAGACTTAATTAATAAATAAAAGTAGAAAAAAATATATTTTTCTACTTTTATTAATTTTATTTTTTCATTATTTCAGTTTTAACCTGTCTCTCCTGTTGCTTCAACATGTCTTATATTCTTTATTTAGATTGGATATCTGCAGTTTGTCAGAGATCAGCTGTGCTTCTCTGGTCTCAGCTCTGAAGTCCAACCCCTCCCATCTGACAGAACTGGATCTGGGCGAGAACATCAACCTGAAAGATCGTGGAGTGAAGCAGCTCTGCGATTTTCTCCAGTCCCCTCTCTGCAAACTACAGACTTTGAGGTCAGTCACTAGGGGTGTAAATCACACCCATTATAGCAATTCGATTCAGTATTGATTTCCTGACCCAACGATTCGATTATTTTCGATAGTCAAGAATACATCATGATTCAATTCGATTAATTCATTTTTTTTAGAAACAACAGCAAATAACAAAAGTAGAAAGGTTGCATTCCACCTATACCTATTTAAACCTCATTCACTGAAAAATAATAATACCTCTGTGTTATAGAGACTGAAAGGCCTTGCAGCAAAAAATACTGCACAAAATCAGTGCAATGAGTGCAATGCAATACCTCGGCTCCAGAGTGTCAATGTCCCCGCCCCCTCCACAGATTTTCTCTCTTCTGTAAATTGTTGCACTGCAGGAAAATAGTGTCCTTCCAGTGATTACTAAAGTAATTCTAATTTTCGTTATTATATTATTTAATCCCTCTTTTTAGGGGGGAAATGTTGTTCTTATAGTTTACAAATGCTGTCTATTGGTGATTCACACCAAACGCTACAACCTGTAAAAATTTCACCGGGTTTGTCTCCATATGCTTGCTTTGAAATGTTACCGGCCAGTGAAAGCAGCCTTTGATAGAGTGTTCCATAATATCCTGTTATATGGTTTGGAGAATTGGGTGGGGATCTGAGGATGAGCAGTGCAGTGGTTCAGATCCTTTCAAAGTCATTGAACATTTAGTGTCAGTGTGGGAAATTCTTTGTCCTCCACTGCTCCTCTTTTATATGGAGTTCCTCAGGGTTCTGTATAAGGCTCCCTTCTTTTTACTCTTTATCTGCTCCCACTTGGATCCTTAGGAAACATTGGGGTTTCTTGTCACTTTGATGGACATGATACTAAGATCTCCTGCTGAGGCGAAACAAAAACTGTTGAATCTCTTCTGAAATGTTTGGGTGATATGAGAGCATGAATGGCTTTAAAATTTTTAAATTTTAATTTAAAAAAAGAAGAAAGTGATGGTTTTTTTGAGGCACTTCAGACAGCCTATCTTTACACCGGGGGTATCTGGATAATTCTGTAAAACCAATGGCCTATGCACAGCCATCTTAACTTTGACAAAGTTAAGCTGTTGGTCAAATCCAGTTTGTCCCTACAAATACTATATGATATTAAATAAGGAGTTTTGTAATTTCCCATCTCCAATGAACGCAACACAGGTACGAGGCTATGACCAAAGAGGAAGTTTATGGAAGCGGCACTCATCCATGTTTTATTTGCTCTCAATGCTGATACCTTTTAGAGTTGTCAGAGATGACAGCTGGTATTAAAGAAAGAAGCAAGATAATCATTCTCCTATGGTGGCTGGCAGGGGACAGAAGGAGCAACTATGGAATGGGTAATCAGAGAAGGTATTTAAATCTGTTATGTTTTCATAATTATGTATTTGTTTTGTGTCATTTTCAGCGTACATTACCATGGGATCATAATTTGTTGTGGTTAAACCTCCCACACACTTTTCAATAGGTTTGTGGTGCGCTTTAAAGTTGGAGAAACTCTGCTCTGTCATCATCTTTGTGTCTAGCTCTTGTGCTCCACTCAGCAGGTTGATGTTTGCCCATTATACTTTTTTCTCATGGCTTTCTCAGCACTCAATACATAATAAACTTTTTGTTCTTCCACTTCATGAAAGTTGGTATTGAAACTTTTTTTTTCTACAAAAAAATACTATATCATATCGAAATAAATATTCCATTATCTTTATGGTTTTTTTTTTCTTTTTTTGCATGAAGACCCAGATGAAAAGAGTAAAAAGAGCTTCTTGGAATATTTATATTTTTAATTGCTCTTTTTCTGTCTGTCAGGATTTGTGGTTTGTGGACCCTAATGCATAGGCGGGAGGCAGAGGTGTGTTACTTGTGATTTAATTAACAACTGAGGCAGGAGTCCAAAAATAAATCCAATGAGAAAAAAGTTAAACCAACCAGAAAACATGGAGACATCGGGGGGGAAGACTATCATGAGGAGGAAGACTCAGAGAGACGAAGTTGGAGGAAGTTTGAGGAGGAACCAGCACTGAAGAACTGCACAGAGAGAGTGAGGGAGACTGAAACAAAGAGAGGGCTAATAATCAGAAAGGAGCTAGGGTAAAAGGGGAACACAAGAGGGCAACAAATAAAAACCTGAAAATAACTACAAAACACAACAAAACAAGAATTAAACAACTGAATCTAGAAAACATGGAACAGAGTAAAACAGAATACACAAAAGAAAACATAACAGAACCAAGACTGTGACAGTATCAATTGATTTAGGATGTTGGTTAGGATGTGTGAATTACCAGCAATGGCTCTGATGGAACTTTTTTATTGTTGCATTATTTTGTAAAACTTTAATTTCATTTGTGTTTATCTGGATGTGTTCATCATTATCACCCTGCTAAATAAAAAAGTTATAATTTATTATCATTAACATTTAATAAAATGATATGAAATGCAGTTCCAGACTAATCGTGTGTCTGGTGATGTCACAAGTAACGTTATGTTCCAGTTGACACAGATTTGTTCTGCCTGCTCCCGTTCTGCTAGAGTGCAAACCTTTCTATCTTCTAAACAAGAACAAACTTGGTGAGAACAGGGGTTCAAACTTGTGTTCATATATCAGTTTCAGCCCTAAGAGTCAATAAAACATGAATGAATGCCTCTTCCACACAAAATCCTCTTTCACTGGTCATAGAGCTGTTTCTGTGTTGCATTCAGTGGAGCTTGAAAAAAAATTAAAAACCTTTCTATTATTTAATATTGTAGCATGGCTCATTTAATTTTTCCTAGTAACAAAAAAAAGATCTGGTGCTGGAACCGGGGATGAAGGTCAGGAGATGCTACTGGTTTAGTTGTTAAAGTCCATTTGAATCCCAGCAGAACAACTGAAGGTCCAAATGAAATCTTCTAGCAACATGTGTTGTTTGTTTCCAAGGATCTTAAAGCTGTAAAGATCAGGAAGGCCTCAGGGTCAGATTCCCATTAGATTGGTTTACTACGTTGATCATTTTTCTGGGACTTTAGCTTAAATATTTTTTATACTTTTATTTATTTTTTCATGATTTTACTTTTAGACTGTCTCTCCAGTTGCTTCAACATGTCTTTTACTCTTTAATCAGATTGGATCTCTGCAGTTTGTCAGAGATCAGCTGTCCTTCTCTGGTCTCAGCTCTGAAGTCCAACCCCTCGCATCTGATAGAACTGGACCTGAGCAACAACAAAGACCTGAAAGATCGAGGAGTGAAGCAGCTCTGTGGTTTTCTCCAGTCTCCCCTCTGCAAACTACAGACATTGAGGTCAGTTACCATGTTTTAGTTTAGTGCTGATATTTCTGATGGTAAAGTTGTGTTGACTCTAAACTGCAGACATATGGCTGATATTCTACTTATCCACATTGAGGATCTTCAGGCTAAAGCCCTATTTCTTCTTCACTGTTTTGATGCAGTTAAAGGTTATTTTCTCTCATGATTTATTCAATAAGCAGGAAAATGATACAATAAGTTGAATTTCTGTGTGGGGTGGCAGCATTATCCAGAACTTCCCAGAATCCAGTGAATTTAGTGTTGATAATGCAGAAAATTCCCACTCCCAGCAACATTTAATGATGTTGCGTCGACACGAGTAGCAGTGTGGAACGAAGGAAGAATCAAAGAACCTCTCTAAGACTTCAGTGTCAAAAAATGGGGACAGATGGAACCAGAATTAAAGGTGAGACAGTCAGTAGGAAAGCTCAAAATCTTTAATAAAATAACATAAACAAACAGAACAGAAGTGCTCTACTATGGTTCTGCGGCTCACAGCAACTGTAGAAGGGGGGCGGGGCACCACCCAATCTCTGTAACTTTGGTTAAAGAGAAACCCTTTCATTATCAGAGTGAGTCACTTACCTGGTCCATCCTCTCAATCAAAGGCAGGATAAGCCGATGCACTGCTGAGATGAGGCTTTGAGCTGTCTAGATCATCCCTGATGCAGCAACCCTAATGAGCACGCAGGACTCCGATCAAGGAGAGGGAATAAGATCAGACTGCAGTAGTTCTGGAATCCAGGGGTCCACAGTATGGTCAGGAGTTCCGATCAACACAGGAACGGACAGATCCGGGTTCCAGGAATCCAACAAAGCATGAGGGCAGGTTCAGAGTCTTGTGCGTCGAGCAACCAGCTCAGACAGAAACGCACCTGGGAGGACAGGTTCAGAGTCCTTTGCGTCGAGCAACCAGCTCAGAAAAAACGCACAGACAGGCAGAATCCAGCAGGAGTCCAAAGAAGGTTTTTTTTTTTTTTTTTTTTTGGGACAGGTTTCTGGCAANAACATGTTAAAGCCTTCAAAAAGCCGTTTCTTTTGTGCGGAGAAAAATAATAACAAACGATACAGGAACAATAGGCCTTCGCAGCGCTGAAGCTGCTCGGGCCTAATAATAATAATAAACATTACAGATACAATAGGCTCTCGCAGCGCTTAGCTGCTCGGGCCTAAAAAGAAGAAAAAACGATACAGGAACAATAGGCCTTCGCAGCGCTGAAGCTGCTCTGGCCTAAAAAGAAGAAAAAAACGGTACAGGAACAATAGGCCTTCGCAGCGCTGTCGCTGCTCGGGCCTAATAATTATCAACAATGTTTCAACAAATAAAAAACTGATTGCAGAGGGAGTCATTTTGCTTGAACTTCCTGTTCTGTTTGAAGTCAAAATCTAAGAAATTAACTTTTTTATCCACTAAAACAAGAGTTTACCATATTATTATCCAAACAGGATGAAGTTAAGGGAAAGGTTTATAAAAAGATTTCTGACCTGAGTCGGAAATATCAGCTGAAGCGGCCCTTTTATCAGCTTCACTCTGTCGACTTTCTGCTTGTTTGTTCTAACAAAACCTGTTTTTAAATGAAAGCAAGTAAAGCAGAAGGAATGTTGTTTATGTTGAAGGATGGTGAAGTCAAACGAGGTCAGAGATAACCATCTGCTGGACAACTAGAGTAACTACAGGTCTGTTGAGGTTTAGAAGTAAAGACATTGAAGTTAATCTGCTCAAGCGGTAAAATGAAACGAAATATAATAAATGATATTTACATTTCGCAATGAAAGTAGAAAAAAAAACAGTTACAGAAAATCAGATCAAACAGCTCATTACACCGATGACTCATCACAGCAGTTTATATGCCTCAATAGTCGTGATCAATATTGAAGACTAATGTTATTGGAAAGCTCTGTGTTTACACATTGAAGCTTTCTCTCTTCTTTTCTTTTTCCTAAGAAGAGATCACTGTGGAAAAACTTGTTAAATAACATTTCATAAAGTATATGTTTTAAATAACCATGACACATGATAACAGATTTATTTTATTTTTTTTTTTATTTTTATTTTTTTTTACAGTGTCCTGTCTGGCAAGGTGGCAATAATAATAATTATCTTGATGCCAAAAGGAGCCCAACAGATTTTACTGTGATTTTAAGTGTAGCGGTATCGCAATTGCCATACTGCACCACTTGTTTCATGTATATAAATTGCTTTATTATAATTATGCAGGGAGTTTTACAGTTCATATGGACACTGCAATGTAAGTAGAGCAGAAAAACAGAAGAAGAAGAAGGAAAAAGAAAAAGAAAAAAACAGGNGTCGTCTGAAGGAAGTCACAGAGCGCCTCCACCTCCTGCTCACAGGGTAGCAGACGAGTTTTGCATCGGAGGCCTTTTAGGATGAACTTTGGATGCTGATTGGCTTTCATGGAGGTGTGTTTCAAAGCTGATTGGCTGTCGTAGGTGGATGTAGGAGAGCAACCAGTTTCTTCAGTTGAACGTCGGCCTAGGCTCCATTTCAGCTTCTACAGTTTTAGGTTATTTTAGGTTTATACAAAAAAAGAACTACTGCAGTTTGCCCAATAGTCATAAAAAAAGAATCCAGCAACACGGGAAATGAAGTTTCTATCTTTACACGCAGTCACATCTAAACAATCAAGAGTCATAGAAAAACAAGCAGACATGCTGGAGGTCAGGAGCAGAGCTGGCAGAGCGACACGGCCGCCAACAATGAACACAAAGGCCTGAGCGCTGGGAACGGGGAAACTGGCAAACCTAACGAGGTGTCCTGCCATCTTCTCCTGCTCCCTCTGCTTAGCGACAGATGCTGATGGCGTCCCATGAAAGCACCGTCAGCTGCACAGGGATGGGCCCACATTTGTCCACAATGACGGGGAACACAAAAAAAAGAACAGTACCAAAGTTTGCATCCCGAGTTAACAATGCTGACGCAGAACCATGGAGGAGGAACGACTTCAACCCCTCCCTTTTACTACAACCACCCATACATGCAGGCAGTGGTCAGCTGCCGCCAGGCGCCGCCTCAGGCCAGATGGCGGCCAACTGCATAACTCACTTATCTGTCTTTGGCAACTATAGGAATGCTGAAAGGCTGCTTCCATTCCCAGCGGACGTCACCGCTAAAGAGACACAGGAAGAGGCGGGCCATCTGCTCCCAGATACCACGGACGCCCCCAATTCCTGTCTGCCCCCCCCACCCCCCCACGTTACTAGAAAGAAACGATGACGCTTTGAATAACTTTCATTCCAAAACAACCAAAGCCCTGATAATGATGATGATGATGATGATAATGATGATGATGATGATGATGATGATGATGATGATGATGATGATGATAATGATGATGATGATGATGATGATGACATTTGACACTAATAAGATTAGATTGAAAAAATAATGAAAAAGACTGTTTGCCTTTAAAATGATTTTTCAGATAAACACTCATCTGCTTCATGTTAATCATCTCTAGATAAGAAACAAATGTTTGTTTGTTTTATTTCTTTTCAGGAAGCCAAACTTTTCTTCTTGTTTATTCGTCAGAGATTAACATTTATTTTCTAATGTAAAAAAAAAACTACCCTAATCTGTTAGGTCAGTTCTTGCTCACAATTCTGTCTTAAAGTAAATGTTTGAAGCAATTTTGCTTCGTTCTTGTAGCAAGAAGGTTGTGGGTTTGATTCCCGGCCTGGGGTCTTTCTGCATGTAGTTGGCATGTTCTCCCTGAGCATGCGTGGGTTCTCTCCGGGTACTCCGGCTTTCTCCCACAGTCCAAAAAACATGACTGTTAGGTTAATTGGCCACAGTAAGTTCTCCTTAGGTGTGAGTGTGTCTGAATGGTTGTTTGTCCTGTTTGTCTCTGTGTTGCCCTGCGATGGACTGGAGACCTGTCCAGGGTGGACCCCGCCTCTCTGACCGGTCGGAAATCAGACCCCCACCAAGGGAGGAGGAGAGACAGCCACGAAGAAGTCCCCACGGCGCCCCGGGGAGCCGCGGGGACGAGTCCGCGGGCCCCGCCGGCAGCCGGCCACCCTGAAGTAGGGCCGGGCACCGAACACCGGCCCCCCCACGGCACCAACTGACACGCCCCAGCCC